GATAGCACAGAATATCGATCGTGCTGACTCTGCGGTTTATTACATGGGCTTCATAGTGAACAACTCGATAAATTACAAAACACTGCTCTACAGCCTCTTCGTAAAGTCTTCAACAGACTCAAAGAAGCTGATCATCATAAGAAAGTCTTTGATCATGAAAGTAAATCTTTTTACGAGTATATCACCAAATATCTTGCTATTCGAACGGGTTCAGCACCAGATTCGATTTCCAAGGAAGCCAGAGCTGCTGAACGATTTGATCAAATGAAAACCAAATTTGCATTCGCTCGTATAGATTATCATCATACACTTTATGAACTTGCAATCTTTCAAGAAACTGAAGTCTTACAAATCCTCACAGATTATCAAATCAATCAACATGAACTTCATTGTCTTGGAACTGATCTTGCTCAACGTCTCGCTCCTCTTGGTACTTCTCTACATCAACTTAAATCAGATCTGCTCGCTAATCGAATCGAGATTGATAATCAGAAAGATTCACTAGAAGCACATCGGCGTTGGTGGGCTACCAAATTAGGTGTCATGTCACAACAAACTCCGTTTCCCGACATTGTTTCAAACTCATCCTACCAATCATTTAGTCTGATTGATGGTGCACGTCTTTCGATTGATCAAATGATTTCTCCACCCCCCAATTCTCGCCCTTCTAATGCGTCACAAACTCCAATCATGAAATCAGCTACCACTTCAAATATTGCATCCATGGCTCATCCTTTATCACCCACCTCTCTTCATACTCCTTCTCAACCACGATCTTATGATCTGGCTGAAAGACTGAAAGGATTCGCTCACACACTTGCTGGTATCACATTTCAACGTGATTCATCTGGATTGGATCATAGTACTCTTAATCCTGAACCGCTTTCTCCTATTCAGGGTAGTTCTACTGGTAGTTCTACTGCCCTATTTCAGATCAGCACTCAAACGAGACAGCCAAGAGCGTCATTACCTGGTTCTCCCTTGAGGTCTCCTAATCCTTGTCGAGAAAGTCCGTCCCTTCGATCTAGTAGTGTAGACTTACCATCACGTGATAAAATTCTCAATCGGGATCAACTTGGTATGAGTCATCCATTACCTGGATCATCAAGTTTGAATGTTCCATCTCCTATACTAGGAAATACATCAACGATTTCTTTTGCAACTTTTCCTTTACCTGAAAATGAAATTCAACCAGATTCACAAATCGAAGAATTAGAAACAATACCCACACCGAGTCAATCACGTAAAAAAGAAGGATATTTATATTCATCAACTAAATTATTATCGGTACAACAGTTATCTACATCCAATATCAATTCAATAGACACATCATCATCTAAATCATGGAAAAAACTTTGGTGTGTATTATCTTTAGGACAATTATCTGAGTTTGATTCAAATTGGGTAGAAAATTCAAATTTACAAATCAATAGACCTCCTATCAATTTAAGATTTGCTACGGTTAGAGAAATTAAAAATCCTGAACGTAGGTTTTGTTTTGAAGTGATCACTCATCAGACTAAGAGAACTTATCAAGCTACTATGGATTCGGAAATGAAAGATTGGATTCGAGCTATTAGTGCTTCTATTGAAAGTCTTTTGAATGGGTATGAGATTTTGTTTTTTTCCGTCTTTTTTGAGAATATATGATTAATTTGATTTTTTTTTGAATTTCTTTTTAGAACAAGTTCAGTAAGAAATTTTGATTTTTCGAAATTACAGAATCAGTCAAATGAATGTTTAAGGTCATTAATTGAAGAAACCAATCAAACCAATCAACCATCAAGTATCAGTCGAGATTCGATTGGAAGTCATGAATATGAAAGACCAAATCAAAGGATGAACTCAAATGAATTGATTAGAGTCCAATCATATCAACCAGTAGGATTCGGACGAGGTTTAGCCACCAAATTGATTAGGAAAACATCCAAATTACAATCATCTAATTCGAATTTGAATTTGATTTCTTCGAATGGATTACAAAAGAATCGGTTCACTAGTTCTTCTAAAAGACCTAAGTCTGGATTAAGTCATGCAGGAATCAGTAGCAGTAGTAGTACTTCAAAGTTACCATTGAGTAAGAATCATGAAGGATCTCATTCTAATTCGATGAGCTGTATGACCCTTGATGAAAACCAATCAGAAAGGATCCCAAGTAACTTAAACCGATCAAACCATTCAAACCAATCAGACCAACCTACATCAGATCTTTCGCATTCGATTCCTAATCCAACAAGTACAACCACAACTATGCTGACACATGAAATGAAAACCAAAGAAGAAACTGAAAGAAATCAACTGATGTTCTTGAAGAATTTAGAAAAGTTAAATTCACTAAGTCAACTTGAACCTAATTCGAAATGCATTGAGTGTGGTAAGAAACCAGCTAGATGGGCTTCTTATTCTTTAGGAATCTTTCTTTGTATTAGATGTTCAGGCTTTCATAGAGGTTTAGGTACTCATCTTTCGAAGGTTAGGTCTTTAGATCTGGATGGTAAGCCTTCTACTTCTCTTCTTTGGGGGCTGAAATGTAAGTGAATTGAGGGTGATTGATTTTGTTGTTTTTTTGGGGGGGTTGGGGATATAGATTGGAGTGATGAACAGATTAAGAATATGGAATTGATTGGAAATGAGAAAGCTAAATTGGTTTGGGAAGCCAGATTACCGGTTGGATTTAAAGTGACAGATCAGTTGAGTCATTGAAACTGAAACTTTCAATTTGTTTATTTTGATTTAAAAAAAGGAAAAAAGACCTGATTTCTGATTGATTTGTGTTTTTTCTTTTTTTTTTGCTTCTTGGAATTTTAATCAAATGATTTGATTTTAAATCATGATTTTTGGTCTCTCTTTCTTTCTCTCTGAATTGAATCGAAAATAATAACGATTGATTAATTTTTTTACTTAGAAATGTAGGAGACTTTATAAAAGAGAAATATGGATTTGAAAAGTATAAGATGTTACCTAAAGTAGAAGAAATCAAAGATGAAATGGAATTAAAAGAAATCATTTCGATTGGAATCGGATCTGGTTCATATGTTTTTGAAGAAAGATTAGTTGAAAAATAACGAAGAAAAGAAAAAAAGAATACTCTATATATATATGTCTATGGTTGTAGAAGAAGAAGAAAAACAAAACGAGAAAATGATTGAAATTGGTTGAAGAAGAAGAAAAAATTGATTGTATACTTTGGTTTTATTTATTTATTTATTTAATTATTTATTTTTGATTGGATTACTGATTACTGATTACTGATTTCTTATACATACTAATAAGGGTTGTAAGTAGATTACATATATGGTTTTCTTTCTTTGCTTTAAGAAATGTATATAGAGATATGAAGAATCGGTTTAGGAGATCATGTTTTTTTTTTCTTTTTATTGATATCTTATATCTATAAAACATCAATTATGTTTTTTCAAGTCGAATTTTGTGATTTTGATATTGATTTTGATGTTGAATCTGTTTTTGTTTTCTTTGAGCCTTGTTGCATCTTTTTTTCATCTTCATCATCAATTGCTTAATTTATTTTCTTCATCATTAACATGACATTGCTATACTGTTTTTTTAAAAAATCATGAGGTTTTTGATTTTTTGATTGTTTTTTTTTTCATGAATTTGTACAATTATAAATTGATACAAGACAATTGGAGTTTGATTTGAACTTTTTTGGTGATGGATAATACAGCAGTTTCAATTATAAATGCTCCTCTTGTTGTTTTTGATTTTTTTTTCATATCCGCCGTTGATTGATATGTTGTCCGTCTGGGTTACGTATTCTGATTAGGATCAGAAATGGAGCTCATGCTGGCGCAAACCCGCTCAAACGTTGGCATCAAGGGTTGAAGGCTGAGAAGCTGGCTTCAGGCAAATGATGTGATTCATCCTGAGGCCAGTTCATCAGCCATTTCCGCGCTTTTCCTACCAGATCGAAAACCACGGAGATGAAGAATGGAAATACAGAGTATGTATGGGTTCATAGAGAGCTGACTAATCTGTTGGAGAGCATGAGTGACGTCATTGGATGAATGAGATTTAAAGTTTCAGTCTCAACGATCAGTTTTGTTGATCGATGATTAGAAAATCTCACCAAACCAACTTATCAAGCTTACTCAGTACTCTTCGTTATCATCAAAGATTTCAACTTGATCATAGAGATTTGAATCGATTGATCAGAATGAGTCATCATCCTCCATTTAAACAAGTCGAAGATAGTCGACCAGATTATGAAACTAAAAACACATTTCACGTATGTTTTTCGATAGATTCATTTAAATATCTTGAGATTTCTAATTATCATTCTTGCTTTTCGTTTGGATTAGTATACAAAAACACCACAACCAGATTGGAAAGCAGGTGATGGATTAAATAATGCAAACTTAAAACATCGTGAAGTGTATGAAGACCCATCGATTTCAGGCATCAAAACTTATATTCCTTATGAGAATATCTCGGTACCTGATAGTTATAAATTGATGATCAATTCGATTGTAAGTGATTAAATTGATCGGTTTTTGTTTTGGATTGATTTAAGATTACATGTCTTGATGAACTTGAAGGGTTTTTTTCTTTCGTTTCTTTGGGTAGGTTCCACGTCCGATTGCACTTTGTTCTACTTTAAGTGAAGATGGAGTCCCGAACCTTGCTCCGTTTTCTTACTTTAATGCAGTTGGTCATAATCCACCAATCGTTAGTGTTTTTAAATCTGATTCTCTTGAAATCTTTGGACGTCAAACTAAACTTCATCTTGATTTCTTTGGGGGGAGGGTATGTTAGATTATGATTTCTTCTACTGATCTTCCTAGACAAAAAGATACAGCTGTCAATATAAGAAAAACTAAAGAATTCGTGGTCAATATAATTTCAGAACCGTAAGTAAATAAGACCTGTGAAGTACCTTTTTTCTTCGATTTCAAGAAAATCCAGGAAGTTGAAATAATGTTGGTACCTTGTAAAAAACAACTTTATTGGGTTTTTTTGTCTCAAATAGATTTGTGGAAGCTGCCAATTTTACTTCTATGGATTCTCCAGCAGGAGTTTCGGAATGGAAACTTTCAGGTCTGACTCCTCAAGCTTCTTTGAAAGTTAAACCTCCTAGATGTCAAGAAGCTTCAGTGAGTATGGAATGTGAATTAGGTTAGTTTTCGTTTCATCAGATTGTAAGAGTTTGTTTGAATTTGGGTGATTTTTGCTTTATTGGATTGCTTACCTGGTTCTATTCGATCGGCTTGATTTAGAACATATATATGAGGTTAGTCTTGGTTTTCAAAATGAAGTTTGGTCTGATATTGTACAAGACTAAGTTGGTATCCTTTTGTACATAACAGATGTTCGATCATGACGATCCTAAAAAACTTTCGCAGACTATGATCCTTGGAAGAATCAAGGTACGATTTGGAAGCATTTGAATTCAAGTTTGAATTTGATAAAGATAGGAATACGAGACTGAGATGGTCTTGATTTTGATGACTTTGGTTTTCAGGCTTGGAATATTAAAGAAGCTATTCTCGTTGATGGTGGACCATCCATCTCAGTTGAAAAATTAATGCCAATCTCACGTCTTGGGTAAGCTTAAGATCACATTTGATTTAAACCGTCTGATTAGAATCTTAACTGATGAAGGGATGTATTTTTTTGAATTTTGAATTTTGAATTTTGATAGTGGGATCAGTTATAGTCGAGTGACTACTGCGTTTGAATTAACTCGACCGGTTTGGGAAAAGGTAAAAGATGAACCTGAAATTAAATCTTTACTTGAGAATGATGGAAAACAATGATTGGGTCTTGAAGCATTGAATGTTTATAGGAGTCGAAATTGAATATTTATTGAACTCTTTGTACTTGATTGATTTGAAAGAAGTTTGTTCTGTATGCGTGTTTGTGTTGTTTCATCTTGAAATGAAAGACTACAGATTTCAATTTGATCAAATGTTGAAATTTAGAGACACCAGTTCAAGATCATTCAAAAGAAAGCCTTTAAAAACCGAAACGGAACATTTTATTCGAAGAAAACATGAATTGGATGATAAAACATCAAAGAAACATCGACTCAAAGAAAAGAAAGAGCTCATGGTGTACAATATCTGTCTGAAAGAAAGAGATGATGCCAGTACAAGAATGCAATGCTTGATTGGGGACTGCCGAGGATGGAAATCAATTAAAATCCATCTTCTTCAGCTTAATCGACAAGTGAGTTAAGAATGAAGATGGTCGAGACAAACCTAATCGATTTCCTCCCTATTGATCAGCGTCAGCGTCAGGAAGTTCACACGCAGGTCTAGTGAACCCATCATCACTGCAAGTGTAATTGACACGCCCACCATTTGGACACACAGGAACTGTGTGTATTCCATTTGGACAGGTGTAGGGAATAGGGCACCCATCCGAATCTTTTCCACAATCAACATCTTCATTAATCTCTGAGCAAATGCTCACTTTATCACAACATTTCACAACGAATTCTTGTGCTCTGTTAAGAGTGTTGAATAAGGTGATGAGTAAGATGAAGTTTATAATAATTGAAAGACTGAAGGAGTTTTTCTAGACAAAAAAAGGGAAAGTATGACAAGATTGTAAGAAGTAAGATCAGGTAAAAATGAGGATGAATGTGAGTTTATGAAGTGGAGATTTTAGCTTACCATTTTGTTAAACTGATTCGAGGAAATTGGTACTCAAGCTTTTTGATGAGATTTAAATAATGATGGTTGGATGATGGTAAACTGGTGTTATGAGATATATTAGACCAAGCTGTGGTGCTTCTTATATAGTCATTGGAACTCGAAATTCAGACTGCAAATCAAACTTGAGTCGCTAAGACTGGGCTTGGAATGAAGTCGAATTGCTGTGAGTATAAATGAAATATCTGTAAATCCGATCTGATGATCATGACATGAGTTTGAGTTCTGCTGTGATGGAGAGTGAAATATAAATGGTAATGATGATTTA